GATTGCAAGCGCACAATGGGGAAAAGAGCTAAGATGTATGTCCTACTAATATGAAAATTTTAAGAAGGGAAAATCTCACCGCCAACAAAATTATGCGGTTGAAGTGGCAACGAAACTGACGGGGCTAATATTTGCCCCGGCGGCACGGCTCGGCAGGTAAACAAACGCGGCCAGAGATGATCCAGTGGAAAAATATTGATTTGCATATAAACCCTTCAGGCATACAAGGAAGTGACGCCTTGAAACCCCGTTAGTTACTTTCGCCACAAATAAAGGGCTTGGAGGACAAGGTGCAGTTTTTGAACAAATGGAGATTTTAATGATTTCAAGTGATATTAGTCTTAAGGTATATTCTGTGAAAAGTTCGCTCCCAAATTCCAATTTTTAAGCATCGAAATGTCATGCAGTTTGAACTTTCGTTCCGCCAGAAGGAATCGTGTAATTTCGAAACTTCAAACACGCATTTCTCGAGGTTGCAAGAACTGCACTTGTGCGTCTTCCCCTTCAAGCTCCCCAATTTACCTATTTCAAATATGTTAAGTTGGCCAGTGCAGGGATTGGTATTAGATGAGATAAACAAAATAGACTGCTTTAGGGGAGAATGAACCATTATTTGGCTCATTTTCTAGGCAAAACAAGTGTCATTTTCCAAAGATCAGAGAAAATTTTCCGAATTTGTCTTGAAAAGGTCAAATTTATGATGCAGGCCCCCAACGGTGGCATGGTACCTGGAAAAGACTAAGAGAGCAGAGAGACTAAAGAGTAAGTGAATAAGGAAGATAGAAGCCGAAAGAAAAGAATAAGACAAAGAAAGAGACGAGAGGGAGACAATGAAGACATTCACGAGCTGGTCATTGGAGATGACGTCTAAAAAAATTTGTCCACCTTGATTTTACCTATGTACTTCGTTGAGATTCCACACATTTTTTGCTGCTATTTTTGCAAAATTGGACGTGTTCCTACCAAAGAAACCAGAGACAGGTCGGAGAAAAGGGATGTGCTCGTTCGTCGAGGGCCGTAAGAACGAATAGTAATTATAAAGCGCCAGTGACGTCAGCGACGAAGCCGCCGTCGCAGTCGCCCTCGGAAGTCTTTAACTCATGAGCCCTGTCCACAACGCTCTTGTCCCATACCCATGGCTCATAAGTGCTACATTCAGTCGGCAAGTAGTTCCGTTTGATAGAATGTAAATTCCCGCTATTCCATTACTCCAAAGGGAATCACACCCACTTTAATATTGTTTCTTATGCAGCTTTCTAGACCTCATCCCATCTTTCCCACTCGTCTATGGTTCCGTTTGGCAGAAATACGTCCAATTATCAAAAATTTGCATAGCTCTTGACAATCTCCAGCTAAGGCTACAACTAACAACTAGGCTTGCAAACTTTGAAGTTTCAAAAGTTTTGAGATGAAGTTGGAACAATGCTCGAGGTTGAGGCAATCCCCCAGCCACGGCGCGCAGCGCCTTTCACTAATTCGGCTGCTTGCTTGCAGATCTCTATCACTCAAGTTCCTTCAATTCGTTGGGTATGCAATGTGATCACATGGGAGTTGAAATAGTTTCTCGAAGTCGAGCAACAACGCGACATCGGTAAAACGTCTCGAAAAAAGAACTTGATTAAACTATCTTTGATAGATCACCTTGTGCCACCATAAGGATTAATAATTTTAAAATTGTTGTACACCTGCTCTTAAATACTAGAAAATTCATAGCCCGCGCCTACGCACCTTTTTACGGTTCTGTCACGTGGTAACGACCGCAGCGCCACATGAAGGTCACATAGATATGATTGAACAAAACGTAAGGTGTAAAGAGCGCAGCAGATGGCCTGATAATGATGAACCATTGTGCATCGATAATTTGTCCATTATACCATTGAATTTGTCTGGTATGGTCATGTCAATAGAATGACGGACGAAAGGCTGCCAAAGAAGTTGCTTGATTAGGTTCCTCCTGGGAGGAGACGGAGGGGACGCCCAATGAAAGGGTGCCGACTGGGAGTTTTAGAAGAAATAAGGGTTTGCCAACTCTCTGAAGGGCTTGGGAAGATAGGGGACTTTGGCGGATAGGAGTCGCAGTGCACTAGAGAGCGCTATAAAAGCGGCTTTATACATACATACATACATACCATTGAACTGAGATAAATAGCATCACACTAAAATTCCTCATCTGGGTGATTTCTAGGTATAGACCCTGGTAAAAATTAGCAGTAGAATCTGTGTTCCAAAATACCATAGACCTACAGCCGGCTGTAAGATTTCCAGTAGCTTCTATATCCGGTAACACAATTTCTTGTAGCCTTTTATAGCCGATGGCGATTAAGCAACAGCCTGGCGATAAAGTGTATGCTAAACGTTACTACTTACGGATGCTAGGACTTGGTGAGTTTTTGGACTACCACTCTTTTTTTGGGCCGTAGTATCTTTATTTATTTTGCGAGGAAAGCTCCGCACTTTTGAAGGATGCCTGCCATTCCTCATATGTTGGAGCGTCTTCAATTTCGTATGATACTGTGCAATATCTCTGGTTCGAAATAGTTGCTTCAAGCGCCGTGGTACGCTGCGGCGCGGCACGGCGCGGCGGGCGGGCAGCCAGCGCCTACAAACCTAACAGGGATACTTCACGCGTTGCGCAATGCGTGAAGTATCCCTGTTAGGTTTGTAGGCGCCAGTGCGCCGCCGCTCCGCTTTGTGTTAGCCTCTAATATTTAATCTCGTGGATTCACCGTTTTTCAACTCATGCCTTTGAAATTTTTGCACACTCTGTATGGATTATTCTCATTTTAATTGATGAAAAAAATATGCAGTAAAGGAAAATATAATGTGCGTTTTGTAAATATTAAGGTGATTCCGTACAAACTTAAGGGTTTACAAAGCACACGAATTTCTCACAGCAGTTCATAGCCAATGACCAAAAAGCAGCAGCCATCAGGCGATAAAATGTATAGCTCGACGATAGGAACTATAGCCCGGCTATATAATTTTTTCTTATCACTTCGTGTAGCCCGGCCGTATGATTTTTTTCCACTTTCTACAGCCAGGTGTATGATTTTCTATCGCTTTCTTCAGTCGGCTATAAGAATTCCTATGGTATTTTGAAACGCAGCTCCTATCGCCAATTTTTACCAGGGGAGAAATATTTTTGATACAAAGAATGAATTCAGCTATCTAACGAACGCTGACAGGCTTGCCGACTGCCATGCGCCTTCATTATATTAGATGGGCCAAAAACCTTCTCAAGAGTTGAAATAGATGCATCCTCTTTACTGCTCAAAATCAACACAGGAGGGATATTTGCGTCTGTGGGGATGATAATGCCGCTACCACCCCAGGAATCGCGTTATTTCAATCGATAAGAGGAAGAAATTTTGAAACGCAAGTCGATCCATGCGTAATTTACCAGTGAAATTTGATGACCTGTCATAGCTTTTTCCCAAAAAACCATAGATAAACCAATCACGGCTTTGTGTGGAGCCTTGTTCTGGGCAAAACCCACTCTGCTTTCCTTGTTGCACTACGGGCCAAATTGGAAATTTTGTTAACTTCTAAATGAGGTAATGATGAATGAAGAAAAAATTTGCCGGCATGGGCTTTTATCAAAAATTTTGTTTTCACTATTGAGAGAATACTTTACCCCCAAAATTTTCATTCTCCTTTGCAAGACTGTTTGAGCATTTTCCTAGCATTAAGTGATTTTCACCAGAGAAATCTTACGCCTCGCATAGATCTTTACCGGATTAGTTTTCTACCACTTATTTTTGTAAGTGTACGCTTCTAGAAAACCCTTCCACCATTAATTACTTCCAAGTGCCTTTTACTGGGAAAAATGCTCTACCGCCGACGGATTGTTTAAAAAAAATAAATCCAGCCGTTGTATAGGAGATGAATGAATGATGAAATTCAAACCGAGGAATATACATAGCAATTTATTTTCAAAGTAAGTACCTCTTTCCGGGCATAAGCACACACTTGAAATATCTTTTTTATGAGTAGAGCTGTAATTTCCCATCATTTAGATTATCATACAGCGTGTTCCGAATAAATGCTAGAGGTCCCTTCATCATATTCATCCGAAAATCATGTTGTTTTCCGCAAACACCATTCTTAAATGACGAACGGTAAACAAGCATTAGAATTTTGATATCGGAATGTTCCTGAAACTGGTCGCCGTTCTTACTGAGATTTTCCTTAATGCTATTGAAGAGAGGTACTAAAGTTTTCTGTCGAACATGCTCGTAATATAAAAGCGATGTATAGTTTGCTTAAAGATTGAAAGAGGAGGGTTTTTTGCTAAATGCAACGTAGTTATACTTTGTTCAGCTTCTTTAGACTCCGTTTATATGCAAAGACCTCGTGACGGTTAACTACCGATGCTTTTTAACTTTTGTAAAATAAAACTAATTTAAAAGTATTCAAGAATGCATAAAAAAAAAGTTGGATTTTAATCTAAACTTCCTTCCAAATTAAAAGCGAAAATTTCAGATAAAATTAGAAACAGCGCGGTGGGTCTTTCTTGAAATATTTTTTAGTATTTTACAGTTCATTCCACTAAGACTCAAGAAATGTCTGAAAGAGTAATCAGAGGAACATGCATCTTGCCAATGACACAAGAAATCCAAACATTTTTAAAGCACTCTTTGAAAAGTGAGGTTAGGTCTCCACTAAAATTTTCTCTCCATCAAATCATTTATATCTGCCTTTCAGAAATCTAAATTATTCACTGTAACTCTGCCAAAAAAAACTAAAAAATGTCTCGGGTCCGATGTCGAATTTTCCATTTCAATTCTTGCGTCCCTTCAATAATACTCTGAACAAAAACTTTTATAATCATGCAGCTATCAGAGTTTCAAATCGCAGATCTGTATTCTAATGGCTAAAATTTCTCGAATTCGTAGCAAAAAAATCAGCCAGCCAGGCTTTTCATTCTTTCCCCTTAGTGCAAACTCCCTGCCACACCCATGCGAATCCACCGTGACATAGGTAAACAAAGTTCTACTCACAAAAAGAGCGACAGGCACCAAGAGGACGGATAGTGGCACTCGGCGACGTAGTCAAGCGGCGAGACATCGCATCGATAGACCTAAGGAGCGCGTGGAAAAAATCGATGCGTCGATATATCGAATCGGATATCGAGGGGAGCAACACGCGAGGCGACACGCGGTTTGGGGGTGCGAGCCGAGAGGGGGCTGCGTGGCTACGTCAATACGAGCCGCTTACTCACTGATGCTAGTTCCAACCCTGCATCAGACGGCGCCCCGGAGCGGGTTCTCTCGACGATTCTCTCCGCGCAAGCTCGGCGGACCTCCCTAGAAACCAATTCTGAAACCCGCCGACCCACCACGAGAAACGTCGCCTCGAAACGTGCAAATTGAAAATAATATATTCTTAAACGCTGCGTCACCAATTCTGTCAACTGAGGGCACCATACACTGAAAAAAAAACTCCGCACTTACGGGCTGTATAGGCATACCGTCCGCGTTCTGGGTGTAGCAACCGAAGCAATCGAAGCTACGGCTCCAGCGCCCGGAACTCTTGGCCTCTAAGCCTGGAACAGACATTACGTCTATGTATAGCCCATAACATTTTTTTCAGTGTAACGATGGCTAAAGTGCGAAACCACTTATCTTCATCGCGTTGTTTCAAAATCTCTGCTCCCATTTTATTTTTTCGAAGAGATACAAATTAACGATATAACTCGAAATTTTTGCGGAATATTCCGCAAATCAAAGAAAATGAAAAATCATGAAAAATCAAGGAAGTTTTCAAGAAATCAAATTGACTAATGTTTTCCGATGAAAAAATGAAGTATGACAGGAAGTCTGCAGCGTTGCAAATGGAGTTACGTGGTTTCGCATTCTGGACACTGATAAATGGACTGCATTTTGGAATTTGGAACTATAAATTCTGGCTCTTCTGGAAAAACACTTATGTGCATAGGGAAACTAACACACATACGTTGTTTTTAAACTGGTATAGAATTTATAGTTCCAAATTGCAAAGTGTAGTCCAAATGAACCTGGCGTCTCAACACGCCACTTGCGGAGTGGCGCGGTGCAATAGACAAATTGAAGTAAAATTCCGACGTAATGCAATAAAATTGCATTTTTTTACAACATGTGATCAAATAATGACAGTTTTAAACTCTTTAAAAGATGAGTTCCATGGTCCAGATAGATAGTGGTGGCCAAAGTGCGAAATCTGTGTTGCGGTGTTTCAAAATTTTCTCACTTGATTTATTATTTCGAAGAGAAATGCTAAAGGCCTTTTTATGGCTTGAAATATTTGCAGAATATTCTGCTAACAGAGAAGGGAACTCGAGGAAATTTTCAGAGTCAGTACGTCCACTAATATTCCAAAGAACAGCAAAGTATGACAGGAAGTATGCAACGTCGCAAATTGAGATACGTGATTTCGCACTTGGGCCATAGATAGGCAATTTACAATGCAGAGATAAATGGCAACTTATTTCAACTTCATGGAAATGAATTCCGGTAAGAGGCGTCCCTTCATCTAATGGATAGGCAACATGAACAACACTGCAATGCAGTATAGTAGCAGCAATCATTGTTCCATAATCGGAAAGCTATTTATTGCAACCTCGCCACTTGGATTGTTTGTCTGTTAAGACGATTCGTACCAAACTCCAGCGTCACGGAACAGGCGCTCCATATATTGCATTGATTAGGTTGAAAAATTTGTCTCTATTTTGTTGACATTTAAGCCACAAAAATAATGATAGGTAGTCAAGCAATGCGCAATCAAAACAATCATTTGCTGTGAAAAAACTCGCAATTTCCAAATAAATAAAAAGGGGATTTGGAATGAAAATGAATTCAATGCCAACGGTTGCTGTGGGGAATGCGATAGTTTTTTCGTCGCCGAATCTTACTCTATATTAAAAAACAATAAGAGTAACGCGTAATTGATGCATTACTCCTGAGGCGCAAAGTTCTTCGAGGGTTCGGGACCACGAAGCGGTCCAGCTACTCCTGTTTTAATTTATTTGAATGCTGAAACTTTTTTCATTTCAAATATTAAATCAGATTTCAGCACGGTAGGCAGTCGTCAAATTTTGGTTAAAAATTCAAAATCATTGGAGATTTTCAACCAGTTCGATAGAGTATTATTGCTTGCCAGTTCAACGACGATTAGAGCCTCAAAAAAATCACCCTAAGAGATACTGTTTCATGAAAATTGGTCGATCGCGTCAATGCCAAAATCATGTTTTGCATAATACTCAAGGTCCTTAAATAAGCAAAACTTAGTAAATTTGCCCAAAACTCCAGGTTCTCAGGTCTATTCTTGACGAGAATGCCGCTCATCAAAAAAAATCACGAAGCAGCACAAAGAGGCATCAACAATATTTTAGAGGCTGTTTTAGCATTCAATATTGTAAGTGACACTCAGGCAAATATCTTGAAGTTGTGATTACATCGACTCTTAGCGTTGTATCCGTTCCTGCCAAGTCATCTAAACGGAGGCTCATCAGGTACTTGTTGTCGTTTTAGACCCCTCCATAGCGCAGCTTATTATTCTCCTTCATTCTGGCGACTAGGCAAAAACATCTCATACGTATCAAAATTTTCACAGCGTGTGTTCAATAGATTACTGACCCCCTTTGGTTGGGCCAACAAGTTTGACAGCAAGAGACTTGATGTTTTTGGGCGCTTTTTGGCCTCTTGAATGCATCCCCAGAAGTTTCAATTAATTTCATGAAATTTCATGCTGATAAATTTCTTAAAATTCTCCATCTCTGATCGAAAGGAACCGTTCCGCGAGGTTTCGCTTATTTGCGATTCCAGTCCCATAGAAGAGCTAGACCGCCGTGCTAAGGAAAAACGCCGCATGAACATTCGATAGTTGTCAAATTCCCTCCGGTAAACTGATTATTTTTGAGGACAGTTGTGAAAATTTTTCCTTGAAATTTTCAGGAAATTTGTGTAAAATTGCGAAAAAAATTAACTTACAACCTGGACGAGGAACATTCATAAATTAATCAGGAATTCGAGTTTAATCAAAGGAAATTTGGCAACGCCTGAAGGTTCATACGGCGTTTTTCCTCAGCACGGCAGTAGAGCGGAATCATGAGGAAACCCGGTTGCGAAACGCTCCGTGTGCGGACGGGGAAGAATGCGCCCTTCCGAGATGGTCGACTCTGTGGAACGCATGCGCCCCCCTACCCCCCCCCCCCCCC